ATTTCTCTGTAGTATTACTTATTCTCTTAAATTAAATCTTTAAAAAAGTTTAAACCTTCAACATTCTTCTAAATTTTTGAAATTATGTTTTTTTCTAAACAACAGATCATAGGAAAAAAAAAGCTGACCTTAAAAATGCTTGAAATCCCAACTTATTTTATATTTTATGACAGGAATAATGAATGTCTTTGATTAGTGCCACTTTTTTCAAGGACTTCCTAGAATCTATTTAAGGAGCTCTATTATGTCCAAGAAAAGATTTTGAAAACAACCATCTTATGCCATGCTGCTTTCCAATGGAGAAGACCACATTACTCCCCTGCTTCAAATCCATCTGAAGAGGTGTTTCATTCAGGAAACTAACCATGAGCCTCCTAGGTAGGCCTTGACAACGAAAAAGACAAGGGTTGAAGTGCTCTTGAATCTACTGAACTAATGCTAATTAAAATTATCACCAATAATGCAAAATTTAAAAACTGGGCACTCTCTAGATGGAGTAACAGATTTAGGGCACTAGAAAATTATCTTATTATATTATTTGAACCAATGGGACACGGTGGTATATGCCTATAATCATAACTACTCAGGAGGCAGGGGCTAGGGGTAACCAAACTCAAGAATTCTGAATTTCCAAGTGCCCTACAAATAGAATATTCATAAACAATTCTATGTTATTATATCCCTTCCTTATCAGTTTGCCTAGGAAGAGTTAAATTAGCATAGTTCAGAAATCAAAGAGATGATAAATACCTACTGCAATAACACTACATGAAAAATAAAAGTACACTCAATTATTTCTTTTTAGTCCACTACGGTCCACCATGTGGAAAAAGACTCAAGAAAAAAGAACAGACACAACGGTTATGGAGGACAGAATCTTTCCAGAGTCATTCTGCTTAACTTCTTGAATTTTAAAAAAAGATGAGATAATTTCTACATAATACCTATTCAGTGTTTATGATGTGCCAGTCGGTATGCTACGAGTTAAAATCACCAACTCACATAACCCTTACAAAACTACTAAGATAGGGTACTATTATTTTCTTGTCAGACAATGAGAAAAATGAATTGTGGAATTAACTTGCTTAGGGAAATACAGTTATTATAAGAAGCAGGAAAGCCATGTTTTTAATCCAAGTGGTGTAGCTCCACAAACTGTGATCTTAACCTGTATTATTAGTTTTTTATGTGTTTCTTTTTTTTTTTCCAAGCCAGACTTTGGCTTTCAAACTATTCCTCAGAGTCCTGGGATTCCATGAGAAAGCTTCTGGGGCCATTGTGGAAAGTAAAGGAAAGCAGATGGGGTTCTGGGAACTTCACCCAACCAAAGCAATTTTACAATATCTACTTAAATAATGGGGAAACAATTAAACTTTCCACAGTAACTTAAAAAAAAAGATTTTGATGCTAAAATACAAAACGTTTGAAAATCACAACATCTAGGCTGTAATCTTCATAAGGTCAGGATATACAGTTCTCCTTGGTATCCACAGGGGATTGGTCACAGGAGCTCCCCTCTCCACCTTGGGGATACCAAAATCCATAGACGCTCAAGTTCTTGATATAAAATGGTGTTGTATTTGTATATAATCTACATATATCTTCATATATACTTTAATCATCTCTAGATTTGTTCTAATACTTAATAAAATGTAAATGCTATGTTAATTGTTATATTGCATTGTTTTAAAATTCACATTATTTTAAATTGTTATTTATTTATTTATTTTTTTGAGATGGAGTTTCACTCTTGTCACCCAGGCTGGAGTGTAATGGTGCGATCCTGGCTCACTGAAAACTCTGCCTCCCAGGTTCAAGCGATTCTCCTGCCTTAGCCTCCAGAGTAGCTGGGATTACAGATGCCGGCCATCACGCCTGGCTAATTTTTGTGTTTTTTAGTAGAGATGAGCTTTCGTCATGTTGGCCAGGCTGGTCTCAAACTTCTGACCGCAGGTGATCCACCCGCCTCGGCCTCCCAAAGTGTTGGGATTACAGGCATGAGTCACCAAGCCCAGACAAATTGTTGTATTGTTATTTTTTACTGTGCTATATGGCAGTACCATATTCACCAGAAAAGGTTAATACTCATTCATACCATTGTATCAGACAATCTTTAGTATTAATATCACTAAATTAAATAATAACAGTAATAATGTTAAATCACACTCAGATTGGTGCTGCTTAGTTTTTAAACATTGGTGGTCAAAAGATTTCATTATCTCAAGGCTACTGATGGGCTAAGTATAACCCACTCTTACATTAAAAAAGTATACTTTTTACACTCTTTTTTTTTTTTTTTACATATGTGAATACTATACCACCTGATGTGGTGAAATGATCACTCAAATTTGGAGGATACTGAATTAATTTAAGAGGTTACATTAAAATTCAAATTGTCAGTAGAAATAATATTTGATAATATTTTCTAAAATTGATGAAAATTGTTTTCAATTTCAAAGAAGTTACAAGGAAACTTGAAAAAAGCATAATTGAAGAAATAGTATCTGAAAAAACCTATAGAATCTATTCTATTAGTTATGTATTACCCTTTTTATTTTTGGATCTATGAAGTTACACGAATTTTTGTGAAATAGAGGAGTAAAGGCTACTGCCACCATTTTGTACTCCCTCTTACAGTGAATTTTCAGCTTGAGAGCTGACATCTTAATCATTAAAAATCATGGAAGTTTTAAGAAAATAAAACTAAAGGCCTAGCTTTTCTAATTCCAGATGTGAACTAAAAGCTAAAAGCTGCACAAATAAAAACTCGTTTTTCTCTTCTCCAAATTGTTTGAAGAATTTTATTTTAGAGACAGTATAGTTTCCAACTAAATTAAGCAACAGTCATGAAATAATATCCACTGCTTAAAATATTCACTGCTAAAATTTTCATAAAAAAATTTTATGGCTATTACCATAAAATTATAAACCATCACACTCACAGCTACATCTCAGATGAAATGGAACACGTGATGGTAAATTATATTAGGAGGGTCTGCAATAGAGCTATCAATTTATTCTAATAAAATAGTTTTGAATAGAAGCAAAAATGAATAAAATGAAGACTATCATACCTTAAACATAACATGCAAGAAACTTAAACGATGCCAAATCTAGCTCAACCTGACTGGTTAAAGATTCAATTTTAATACCCATTTTTGAGAAATTGCAGTTAACCATATGTAGACAATACTAAACAGATGTATCAAAGGCACAAAAAACTAGGATGTAGTATTGCTTTAGAAGGAATTTAGTCTGAATGCTGGCCCAAGCCTCCCATGAATGATTAGCATCAACACAAACTCTTGTGCTCTCCTGACAGATTCAAATTTCGAATCTCTATGTTGTTAAAATATTTTATTAATATTTATGAAAAAGCACCAAGATTGGTTTTCCATACTAGGAAAAAAAACTCTAGCTGATATGAAGCCTCTGGAACCAAAGTAATTTTGGCAGTTCAAGGATAAAGAGGTATTTAAAAATTAATATAACTTGGTGATCTGGGAACAGGGTTTTCTGGTACTGGTATGACAACAATTTACATAAAACATGTTCCAGAGATGGTCCAACAGATAGATATTATAATTTGTCTGTCCCATTCCCATCTCTGAAAGCTAGGCACCCATGTACTTTACTTTGTTATTTAATAACTATTAGGATAATAATACATTTTGGTTTTCTTCCTCATCTAGAAAAATAAAGATAAAAATTTAAATTGTCTCTATGTCTAACTAGTGCTAGAATTCTTGAAAAACTATTTTGAATAAAGTAACACTACATTATAAGCAGGATTACTCACTCCAAGAAGATTTAAAATAAGAGTTTATTAATCTATATATTAACCTATCTGCTTAGGCAGATAGGCCACTTCCCAAGTGGTTCAACTCTAAAGCAAAATACCAGAAATCGATTATTCCTTCCCCACTCAATTTCTAAAAGGATGCGAACTCCTGGCCTATAGTGTATGACAGATTCTAATTTCCAAGAATATAAAAAGGCAATGGTTAATTTAGGAAACAGCTGTATGAATGACGACGTATAAAAAGATTCACTTAGAATACTGAATGGTGAAGAGTCATCCTTTTCTCAGATAGTGAGAAAGATGCCTAATAATGTCCTTATCAATCTACACCCTGCATTTAATCTCTATCTTTGGAGGCTGCATGCTGGGCATAGGAGAGTCAACAAAAAAATATGAAGAGAGAACAGAAAAGTTTAGATTTAAAACTAAAAATCCAGAATTCACAAAAGAGACTGACCAAAAAAAAGGTTAAAATTCAAGAATCAAAAATGGTTTGCCATTATTCTGAGCTTTTATAAACACAGAAATTTTATCTGTAAAAAGGGAATAAAATAACCAGCCCTAAGTTTATACACAGTAACAGTAATATTAAAAAATATATATATCTCATTACTTCAGAATCAATCAAAGACATAAATATTTAAAAAGTTAAGTTGAAAGAGGATATAGACTAGAGCAGAAAGAAAAGAAAAAGGGGGGAGGGGGAAGGGGAAAGGCAGTTATCTCTTATATCCCCAAATTAAAAGGCCTTTAAGGAAAAGTGATTTGTTAAAATATGTATATAAAAAGAAGTTCCCAAGATTTTCCTTTTTAAAATTTTAATTTCCCATTAAGACAAAAAAAGAAAAAAAAAAAAAAGGGCAATAGACATCTACTGAATAATGGAGGGAACTCACTAGCTTTTTTGCTTTTTTTCCCCCCTTCTTAGACAGCTTAAGTTTTCTGTTTGATATTATGTTTCTGCAAAGTGATATTTAATCTTGCACATTATGTTAATCAATCACATGTCACGTAATTGAGAAACATATGTTCTACTACCAGTAGTAGAATGAATGAGTCAAATATGTATGCTTAAATCTTCCATGAAAAATGAACTTTCAAAACATATACCCATGTTCTGGCATGAAAAACCAACTCTATCTTCTTGTATTACAGATTTCCATGAAACATGAGTTTCACTTTGTTTACAAAGACCTACCTGAATAGCTGAGTTCATGAAACACGTATTTCCCAAGTTACTTAGGCCACAGAGGCCTGGCTGTTCATTGTTTCTTCCAGGTTCTGAATAATCATAGTTCTTATAAGCCGTATATGATGGGAGACAGTAATTTGAGTTTTTCACACTGGAAGAAAAAAATATTTTCATAATGTAGCCAATTATATTACAACATATTTATAATAAAGAGTACTTTAGGCCTATTTATGAGATATATGGTTGATCATTAAATTTCTTTTATGAAGTACTCAACTGAGATACTTTTAAAGACTTGAACCTCAAACAAAATAACTCACCCTGAGTTAAGATACTCCTTATCCAATCAACAAAATAACTCAAATACCACATCAACCAATACAAATCACGATTATATCTTTCTACCTTTGATTAACTGGAGCAGCTTTACAGCTTGCTCCATTCCCCATTGCTCCATCAAATTTAAAACATTCAGATTTTAAACACCAACTGCAGCAACGAATCATCTCCTTTATGACCCTTTTGCATTCTGTTATTGTAATAGAGTAAAAACGGTAGAAACAGTAAGAGTTATGCTTTAAAAAGTTACAGGTAAGAGCAGAGAGTTCCAAGGCCACTGTGACCTCACTGTTATGATGCACTGATGATTCCATTTATAGTTTCTATGCTAGACCAGCAAAAACCAGTATTCAAATGCAGAAAAAAGCCTGGGTGAACAGGAATGCAAAAATGATTCTAAGCAAGTATATCCCAGTATTATTTGCCTTTTCTTTCTTCTGGTTTCTCAGATTAATGTAGTTTATTTAATTAGATAAATATAACCTCAAGATAATTTAAATGTTAATATTAAAAACTCTACAATATTCTAAAAGTCACAAAATCAGGATAATTTTTAGAAAGAAGAAAATGTTAAACGATCCCTCTTCCTTCCACATATAATAAAAAATAATTTTGTGAAAAAGAATGGATTCTTATTTTTTAATAGGTTATTCTATAAAATATGTATGATGAATATTTTGGATATAATCCAAAAGCAAGCTTTCAATCTTTTTTTATTCATTAGAAAGAACCTGAATGAGATCTTTGCAAAAAGCAAATGACGCTATAAATAAAACAGCTTCATAAATGAACATGATAAATCGGTATCTCTAGCAATTCACAACTGGCTATAATTTATTCCTGGTATTACTTTTTTAAAGTAGTTTTTTCTTACAATTTCAAATACTTCACTTTATTATTTCATATATTACACTCTCACTTTGTCATTATAAGAGTTTATGTGAACTATACTACTACCTGTTCTAACAAAGTCTTTAGTGAAAACACACATACACACACACCCCCCCCCAGACAGGTAAAACACACAAAACCAAACCAACCTCAAATTACACATACAATGTTAGCCTACTAATGTTTTTGTATTTTTTTAAAAAACACTCCCTTCTCCTGGAAACAAAAAAGGTCAACTCCTCAACTCTGAAAAAACAATCCACCCTGAGATAAAAACAGCAGGCGTCAAAGAAATATAACATTGATCAATTCAAATTCAGAACTGCTAGACTTACAGATATTTACTTGTCTTAAACTGAAACAAAACACAAAAAATATAACTCATGCATCTTTTCTTGGCAAATCATTACCCTATGATTCACTTTTTATTATATATTCCTAGTAACTTAATAAAGTACAAAGTGCCTATCAGCAATTTTAAGTATTTTCGCTCATATTTGGATTATTGAATCTAACTTTGGGTACACACAACAAAAAGCTGAAGTACAAAAAAAAAATCCTGTTTTTCTTTTATCAGTGTTAAACAGTGCTAAAAATGAAGATCTTCTGTATATTATTTTAAAAAATGCAAGGCTTGCATTTTCTACACATTCTACACATTACAGAGAAGAAAAAACTTCTGACTGTAAAATTATAGTAAAATTTAAGCAGCTAGAGCACACAGGAAAGTATGCACAAATGCATGCTCACGCCTATACACACACACGTGAAAAGACTAAAAGCACATTTACATGCTCATTCCATAAGTATATATTCAGATCTCTTGTCTCTCCCCACGTGTAACACAAAGAGATGCTGGAAGTTCTATTCTTCTTTGCAGCAACATGATGGAATTTGATGGGACAGAAATTCCTATTTACTGAGAAATGAATAAAAAACTTATTTGCAAAGCAGTTTTTTGGTTTTGTTTTTTAAGAAAATCTAAATCCCTAAATAATATCTACAACTTCGCTCAAAGATTGAGATAGTCTAGATGCTCAAAATGATAATGAAAATCAATGAATTTAAGATATTTCAATATTATCTTGATTGGTTACTTATAATCCACATGTTATGTGTGCTTTAAATGAAATATTAAAGTTTGTCATGGAAAATATCAAAACTAGTTTATGTAATTCAAAAAATTTATGAAAATCTGGGCCCTAGTATCTTTCATGACTATGTCTAGTAATTACTTTCTAAAGATCTTAAGCTAGTCATCATCTTTTAAGGCTATGCTACTTTGCAAAAATAAATTTACAGTAATAGTAATGGGAATTTTAATACTATATTAGGTTAATTCTGTATTATATCCATCCTTCTTTAATAAAAACACTAAAAATACATTTTTTTTTTGGTAAAATTGAAGCTTACCTTTCTATAAAAAATTTCAGATTGACTTTTAAGCTAGTACTGACACCTGACTTTATAAATACATAATTTAATCCTCATAACTATAATTATGCCCATTGTGCAGTTATTGAAATGATGCTTTTAGTTAACAAATTTATCAAGAGCCAGATGGTTAGCTCTGGTAGTTTCCAAAATTCACAGCTCCTGTTCATGGCTCAATCTCATACAGGGAATCATTTTCATTTCAAATAAAAAAGATATAAATAAATTAACAGAAAAATAGAAATGTGCTCTGCATTTGGAATGTCAAATTAAGACAATAAACACATTAACAATTTTTTTTTAAAGGCAGTGTTAGTAATATATCAAAGCAAATAAAGCAGGGCAGAAAAATACAGGTTATAGAACTATTACCAGAAAGACAATCTGACAGATATTTAAAAATGTACTTAAATTATAACTGAGGCAAAACCAAATACACATGGGACTAACAAGTAAAATTATGACACAAGGTAAACAAACTGTATTATAGTAATGGATTTTTTATAATACAGGTTTTAATAAAAACTTATTAAACTTAAATGGAATAATTCCAAGTATACTTTATTACTTGGAATTATTTTATAACAATATTCTTATTTCTGGAAATGAAAATTTTATATCTTAGAAATGTACCAGTGTAGGGTTAAATCTTGAATTTATAAATAAATTTCATATAAGTTTGTGGACAACTATTGATTTTAATATATTATTTATACTTGTAGACTATTTCCACATACATGAGGTTTCAAAAACATAATGCAAAAAGGTCATTACTATTTCACCTACTTTTAAAGAAACTATGCTATTTCTATCTGAAGTCTTTCCAGAAGCTGAATGGAAATTCAAGAGGTAAACTGTATGTAAAACAGTTGTTTAAATATGGAATTCAAGTTTTTTAAGGTTAAAAAACAAAACTTTCCATTTTACAAATGCTTAAGTTCTGTTCCTTACTAAGAAAGAAAATCTATACATAAAAATGTACTTTCAAGCTCAAAATGGTCACAGCTTCATGGTACCTCAGTGACCATTTGCTATTAAAATTCCATAATATGACAAGGCTATTTCAGTGTTTGAATTAAAAAAATATAAATAGCTAAAAATATGTCATATGATAGAATCATTGAAACTTAAGACTCTAATTTCTCTCAATAGTTTCTGCAGTCAGAGGTTTTTAGATTAGCTTACACTGTCAAGTATTTACTAAGGATGCAAACAGAACAAAACCAGAAACATACCAGACCACACATACCAATATGGTAATACTGGTCAAAATACAGTTTACATTCAATATAGTCTATGTCCAATGTTAAAAATATGTCCAAAGAATGACTGTAAATACCTGTAAATAAATTCTTTTATAGTAAATATGAGAGCCATCTGCAATGAGTAAATCATAAGTAATATTTTATCTAGCATGAAGTTTACTTAAAGCTCTCATTTACGTAATACAAACCAAATTACGAGGGGTTATTTTCACTCTTTTTCTTTGGCTTGTGCACATACATTTTTAAATAGAAGAGAAGACACTGCAGTGTAATTTTGAATATTCAGCGTCTTCAGTATTTTAGTATTAAACTATGATGTAACATTATTACATACAGTGCACGTATCTTTTTATGAATTACTGAAATAAGAATGTGAACGTTTTAAATGTTATTGATTCATACTGGTAAACTATTTTGCTAGAAAAAATTATTCTAATACTCCAAACACTCAGAATCATTATAAAAATATATGTTACTGTTTAATTTTTCCCAATGTGACTGAGGTAAGGGAAAGCAAATGGGGTTTTTCATGGTTTTAATCTCTAATCAGTAGTGAATGTGAAAATTTAAAATATTTATCCCAGCTGGGTGAGGTGGCTCATGCCTGCAATCTCAGCACTTGGGAGGCTGAGGGAGGAGGATTTCTTGAGCCCAGCAATTTGAAACAAGCATGAGCAACATAGTGGAACTGTCTCTATGAAAATAAAAATAAAAAAATTAGTGGGGAGTAGTGGCATGTGCCATAATCCAAGCTACTCAAGAGGCTAAGGTGGGAGGATCACTTGAGCCTGGGAGGTCAAGGGTGCAGGGAGCTGTGATTGTGACACTGCACTTTAACCTGGGTGACAGAGTGAGACCCTACCTCAAAAAAAAAAAGTTTATTCCTTATTTAATTCCTTTACTTTTACTGCCCAATGTTTCTAAGACTCTTAGAAAATTTCTAATTTTTATGAGCTTGATATATTTAGAATATAAATCCTTTATCATTTGTAACAAGTACTTTTTTCCATTTATTTGTCCTTTTTTAATATGCTTGGATTTAAAATTTCAGAGAGAAATTCTCAGACGTGAGCCAATTTTTCTCAACAATATTTCCTGGATAATCTGCCCATTCCTATTACTCTACAATGTCTCCTGATCACATTAAATTCTTTTTATAGAAAGATTTGTTTCTGAGCTAGATTCCACTGATATGGAGGTGTATTTTTGGGTCAGTACTATGTTGTCTGAATTTTTGTTATCTTTGTAATACATTGTGATATTTAGTTTAAGACTAATCCTTATTATTCTTTTCCAAAATTATTTTAGCTCTGTCATCTACTTATAATCCAGATGTATGTTAGAATCATTTTTGTCATCCTCCCCCAAAAGATAAATTTTAAGGGAAAATTAATTAAACATATAAATGTAATTATTGGTGTCTTAATTTTAAAGATTATTTCACAAATAGCTTTAGTCTTTTAGAATTTACTCACTGAGATTATCAGATGCCATTTAGAAACTGCAAAAATATCTAAATACTAATACTTTACAATTAGTATAAGTATATACTAACATATAATTAGTATAAGTATTAGATATCTAATACCAATATTTTAGTGCAAATATCTAAATACTTTCACTCTAATCCATAAATAGCACTATACATACCAAAATAAATAAATAAAAGGAGGATAATCATCTCTAGATCAGTATTATTCCCATAATTTGGGCTAATTACAAATAATAAAGGTTTTCTTTCAACCTTTTTCAATAAAAAAAAATCAATGTTCGAGGTAATACACTCAGAGTCAATACAAGATAATACACTCAGAGTGAAGCCCATGTAACCTTGACTTTCAATCGTTTTTCTTATAGCAATATAACACACACTTCAACAAAATTTTTATAAATTCCATGATTCTAAATTTTATTTGGCAAGGGGTAAGGTAATTGTTTTTCTGAACTTCTCAAGAAAAAGCGATTGTCTTTTTCATAAACAAAAATTTATATGTGCTTTCCACTTGAGAATCACTGATATATACTTTTTAAAAATACTTTACTATATGTGATTACATATCTCGTTCTAAAATGACATCTGAATTTAAATTCTTCCTAAAAAATTGTGTTCTAACAAACTTCTAAATATATTTTAATGATTAGTATTTAGTATATAAAATTCTTTAAGTGTTTTATTTCTTTCAATGTATGTATTAAATCAAGAAGTAATTTAATTGCTTTCTTTTTTGTTAAGTTACTCCTGGAAGAACTAACCAGTAATTTGAAAGAAAATCAATTTTAATGCATTAAGACTTTTATCCTAAAATTTAGATACAAGAGATTTTTGCAACCATAATAGGGTGATCAATTAAACAAAGAGTTTTTAAGATTCAGTGCTTACTTTCTGTTGTTCATGTTGTTATAATTATTTGATAGAGATGAAGGAGAGATCTTTGGTAAAGTTGAAAAATTGGATGCACCTGGGGACCTTTAAAAATATGAAAATGTTAAATTAGATAAAAAAAATGAAGAATTTTTAAATTATGAAATAAAAGAACTAACAGATGACAATGTTTGTAGTAAATGAATGCTGAAAAGTAGATTTATGAGCAAAATCACTATTATCCTTTGGTTTTCAATTTTGAATGTATTTTTCCTTATAAAAACATAAAAGTACAAAAGGGAACTATTTTCAAATAAAATTTATCAAATTAAATATGCAACTTGCTATTATTCCTATAAATCTACTAACTACATATACCCATTTCCGAGTTTAGGTAACCATTTTTAACATTTTACGATCAATTTCCATTAGTCAATGGAATTAAACTATTCTACTGTTTCTCACTGGTACACCATGGCATTCTAATTATGCACAACATTGACACAGAGATCAGAGAACATTACCAATTTTTACAAATTAAGGCAATGGGGACAAAATAGATAAAATAATTCCAAGCATAATCCCAATATGCTATATTTGGCCAAAGGGAAAAGGCATAAATCTGACTACAGTATACATACCTTATTAATTCAGAACCTTTTTGAAGAAACTGCAATTACTATTGGTTTTTAATCAACTTAAACCATTAAAGGTATGACTTATAATCAACAAATCTATAATACGCCAATAATCTAAGTACTTAAAGGTCACTAAAAGTTTTACTTTCCCTTGTAATTTTGTAAACATATTATTTTAATTTACTAGGCAACAGCTAGGCAAGAGGCTATAAAAAACTAGGTTTCAGTCCAGTGACTCAGTCATTGTAAATTCGAAATTAGTGAGGCCCCAAATGATTCACTTTTAAATGTTACGCTAATGAACAATGAAATGGTCAATAAGCAGAAAAGCATAATCTAGAAAATTTGCTTTTAAGTGATTTGGATTTATCTAAATAAATATATTTACAATGCATTATGCAGAACAAATGGTGGGCAATAAAATTTTTTAGATATAAAAAAAATTTACATTTTCAATTTCATGTTTATTATTTTTTTTAGAGACAGGGTTTCGCTCTGTTGCCCAGCCTGGGGTGCAGTGACACAATCACAGCTCACATAGCCTTGACCTCCCAGGCTCAAGAGCTTCTCCATCTCAGCCTACTGAGAAACTGGAATTACAGGCGTGTGCCACATACCCAGCTAATTTAAAAACAAATTTTTTTGCCGAGACAGAGATTTCACCATGTTGCCCAGGCTAGTCTCAAATTCCTGGCCTCAAGTGATCCTCCTGCCTCAGCCTCCCAAAGCACTGGGACTACAGATGTGATTATAGGCTGCACCAGGCCTACTTTAACTTTATAAGTTTTATACATTATAAAATCTTAGAAAAACATGTTTTCTTTTGAACGAGGTTCTTTTCGCTGATAAATGCTATATATTACTGGATCCTGTTACGTGGGATTTCTAGTTAGGTACCCTTCTGATGGAAGTCCCTTTAACAAGATTTTATTTTACTGTACTAAACTCAAAAACAAAATACAATCAACCAAGTTTTATTATAAAACAATGTATAGAACACATTTAAAAAATAATTTTAATGATCCTAATATTCCCAGATAGTAGTTTTAAAATATTAATAAAAAACTGAAATATCCTGGCATTTCTGCCTCCACATTAAGAATTCTAAATTAGGAAAAAAAGGTCTAAATTGATTAGAGACTGAGTTATAATAAATCAAGGAGGTTAATTTTTTAAAATATAATTCATTACAACTTTTCAAAAACATATGTAAATCGAACGTTACCCTGAATCTTATAGTAAAAATTATGGAAATAAAGATCCATTGCTTCATCCAATAAAGTGGCTGAGACATATATATGTTATATACAATATATATATACACTGTATACACTTCATGTATATATACACACACACATACACATATATATACTTTTTTCTTTTTCTTTTCATCTATGGCCTTTTTTATTATTCACTAGCAACTCTAAGAACTATATTAGAAGGAAAAGAAAATGAAATACCATGGAATTAATTTGTATTTTCAATTTTTATGGAGTTCATTCAAACACTCAAACATTTACTAAATGATTACTGTATGCCTCATCCTTGATAAGTACTGGGAATACAAAGAAAGACACAGTTCCTGATCTCAAACAGATCATGATCTAACAGGAAAAAATGACATATAAGCAAAATGACTATAATACAATAATACAATATAAGTACGACAACAAATTCTAATGTAGAATTTTGTGGGTAGTGACATGAGGTGATTTAAAAATGACGTACAATTAGAGGGATAGGTGGGAAGTAAAAGAGTATTACAGGTAGGAAGAATAGCATGTAGAAATCATGTAGAAACTATGAATGTGTTCAGGGAATTACCAGTAAATTCAGCTTGGCTTAAAGACTAGGAAGTACTGACAGGAATAGAGGTTACTAAGGTAGGTATGACAACAAAAGGTCTTTTATGTTCTATGAAGAAATCTGGATTTTATCCAATTGTGCTGGAGCATGTGGAAAGACTTTAATAGGGTATCAACAAAATCAGATTTGTAATCTAGGAACTTTTAAGGAAGAGAAAAAGACTGAATATTGGGAGACCAGTTAAGGAACTATAAAAACAAAGGTAAGAATTAATAAGGGGTGGAGTTAAGAAAGTAGAGTGGGCAAGGGCAACGTATCTTGGATGTTTAGGAAGCAGTTCTTGAAGTATAGTCCATGGATCCTGGGGGTTGTCAAGACCCTTTTTAAGGTGTCCATTGGTGAGGTCAAAACTATTTTCATAATAAATATCAAAGTGTCATTTAAATGTTATTTGACCTCTTTCACTGAGTGGATATTGGCACTGCTAGTGCAAAAGCAATGGTGGATAGAAGTGCTGAAACCTTAGCATGAATCAAAGGAGTAGCACTAATCTATATTTCACCACATCACAGTAAAAAAGTTTCACTTAAGAATATCCACATTGAAAAAAAAATTACTGATTTTATTAAATCTTAACCCTTACTTACACTTCTTTTTGGTATTATCTGACAAACTGGGAAGTTTGCATAAAGCGTATCTGCTACAAATTGAAGTATCATGGCTGTCATTCTGAGGAAAAGCTTGTGTAGTTATTTGAACTGCGTGAACCACAAGTGGAACCAGTCATTGTTTTCAGGACACCACTCTTTTTTTATTCTACATTAGGAAACGACTGTGTGTGGTTATTTGGACTTGGCTATTGATATGGCTTGGTTCTGTGTCCTCACCCAAATCTCATCTTGTAGCTTTCATAATCCCCAAGTGTTGTGGGAAGGGCCTAGTAGGAAATGACTGAATCATGGGAGGGGGTGGGTCTTTTCCATGCTGTTGTTGTGATAGTGAATGAGTCTCACGAAATTTGATGGTCTTAAAAATGGGAGTTTCTCTGCACAAGCTCTCTTTGCCTGCCACCATCCATGTAAGACATGACTTGCTCCTCCTTGCCTTCTGCCATGATTGTGAGGCTCCCCCACCCCAGACATGTGGAACTGTAAGTCCAATGAACCTCTTTCTTTTGTAAATTGCCCAGTCTCAGGTATGTCTTTATCAACAGCGTGAAAACAGACTAAAAGAGTAAACTGGTACCGGTAGAGTGTGGCGTCGTTGAAAGTTTTATACATTATAAAACCTTAGAAAAAAATGTTTTCTAAGGCAAATCCCATCCACTTATGAGCCTGTAAAATCAAAGACAAGTTAGTTACTTCCTAGATACAAGGAGGATACAGGCATTGGGTCAACACAGCCACGTGTAAGAAACTTTGGAACTGGGTACCAAAGTTCCCAGAAAATGTGTAAGCAACTTTGGAACTGAGTAATAGGCAGACGTTGGAACAGTCTGGAGGACTCAGAAGAAGACAGGAAAATGTGGGAAAGTTTGGAACTTCCTGGAGACTTGGGAGGACTCAGGAGATAGGAAGATGTGGGAAAGTTTAAAACTTTCTAGAGACTTGTTGAATGGCTTTGACCAAAATGCTTAGTGTTATAGACAATAAAGTCCAGGCTGAGGTAGTCTTAGATGGAAATGAGGAACTTGTGAACTGGAGCAAGGGTGACTCTTGTTATGTTTTAGCAAAGAGACTGGTGGGAGTTTGCCCTGGCCCTAGAGATTTGTGGAATTTTGAACTTGGGAGAGATGATTTAGGGAATTTGGCAGAAGAAATCTACGCAGTAAATCATTCAGGAGGTGACTTGGGTGCTGTTAAAGGCATTCAGTTTTAAAATGGGAACAGGGCATAAAAGGTTGGAGAATTTGCAGCCTGACAATACAATAGAAATGAAAATCCCATTTTCTGAGGAGAAATTCAAGTTGGCAAAAGTACCGAGCAGCCAAATGTTAATCCCCAAGACAACGGGGGAAAATGTCTCCAGGGCATGTCAGAGGTCTTCACAGCAGCCCCTCCCATCACAGGCTTGGAGGCCTAAAAGGAAAGATGGTTTTATGGGCTAGGCCCAGGGCCACCCTGCTCTGTGCAGCCTAGGGACTTGGTACCCTGTGTTCTAGCTGCTCCGGCCATGGCTAAAAGGGGCCAAGGTACAGCTCAGGCTGTTGCTTCAGAGTGTGGAAGCCCCAAGCCTTGGCAGCTTCCATGTGGTGCTGGGCCTGTGGGTTCACAGAAGTCAATAATTGAGGTTTCGGAACCTCTGCCTTGATTTCGGAGGAGGTATGGAAATGCCTGGATGCCCAGGCAGAAGTTTGCTGTAGGGGCGGGGTCCTCATGGATAATCTCTGCTAGGGCAGTGAGGAAGGGAAATATGGGTTTGGAGCTCCCACACAGAGTCCCTACTATGGCACCACCTACTGGAGCTGTGAGAAGAGGGCCACTGTCCTCCAGACCCCAGAATGGTATAGATCTGCTGAGAGCTTGCACTGTGCACCTGGAAAAGCTGCAGACAATGCCAGCCCATGAAAACAGCCAGCAGTGGGGTTAGAACCTGCAAAGCCACAGGGAAGAGCTGCAGAAGGCTGTGGGAGTCCACCTCTTGCAACAGCGTGACTCAGAT